GAAAATTAAGAATTATACTTAAATCTTGGCTGTAGGAGTCTGTGAGGCTGGATCATCTCAGCCAGTTGCTTTGAAGCTGTTTTGGATGCTGGATCATCTGGGTCATGGTTGTCATCGGAGACCTTTCAGGAGGTCTTAGTTGATCAAACCATATTAGCCTGGAAGCAATCCACAGGTTCTCATCTTCTGTGAAAACAAAAGCATAACCTCTTTTCCAAAGCAGTGTATCCTTAGAGACAAATTTTGAAGTCAAGATACCTTTGAAATATACATATTGTTTTTTTATAATCAAAATGTCTTTTATAATCAAATGTCTTGCTCCAGTTAAAAATCCCAAAGACAACATAATACAGACTCTCTGTGTAATTTCCATCTTTATGTGACTTATTATATTTTTATATATTCTATTTTTTAGGATATTATATATAACATATATATAATATATAATAATTTTTATATATTCTATTATTTTATTTTTATGACTATATCCTTTCTCTCCTCTCTCTCAAGCCTATGTACTTTTTTACACATAATGTAAACTATTCAGAATTTTATTCCCTCTGAATCTGTCTTATTATGAATCTATAATCCTTCTCTGACCAGGAGAGATTTTAAACTGTTAAACTGACTTTGGCTGTTGACTCCACTCCCCCCAGCTTCCCAACATGGCAGAGGTACATTTACCGCCAGCTCTGGGATCCATGCTCACCACTGAGTATGGGAAGCAGTGGGTCTATGCCTCCATCCAGCAGCGGTGGCCCAGAAACCTTTTTTTTTTTTTTTTTTTGTCTGTACTAGCAAAATCTAAATCCACCATGCAGCATACTGCATGTGCTGCATGGCACCCCTCTGTACCGTCATGGGAATCCACCATGCTGCTTAGCTTGTGAAGGCTGGTGGCAGCTGGTGGCCAGCTCCATCTCACAGGCCGCTGTCAGGAAACAAGTCTCTGCACTGCTGCTGGCTTGAGACTGTGAGACTAGGAAGCCCAGTGTGGCTCTGCTTCTGTGCGTTAGGACCTAAGGTCTATGTGGATCATTGCCCAACAGTGAGCGCCAAATGTAGCTGGAAGTTTCTCTGGTCCTACCCAGCCCCTGTGGTCAGGACACATCTCTCCCACCAGTGTCCCACAACTGCTTGGTCCCAAGAAACACACGAAGGCTATATTATTTACAAATGGTATGGCCTATGGGTCAGACTTGTTATTAGCTAGCTCTTAACCCATATGTTGCCATGTGGCCGTGGCATTACCAGTCTGCTGGCATCTTGTTGCTTCTTGGGCAGCAGGCTGGCATCTCCCCTTACTCTCCTTTCTCCTTTCACTGTCTCTCTTTGATTTTCCCGCCTGGCTCCATCCTGCCCTGCCATAGGCCATTGCAGCTTTATTTATTAGCCAATGGGAGTAACGCATATTCACAGCATACAGAAAGACATCCCACTGCATAAAATCTTTAAGGTAACCACTGAAATATAGAAAGGAGGAACCATGGGCAGTTGATTGACTGCTAGAGCAGAGACCATCAGTGTTCTTCAGATGTAGCCCCTGATAGGTTGCCACAGTCCACTGGATAGCCCACAGTGTGCACATACTGACAGCACTGCGTGGACTTGGTGAGTTTAGAAAAGAGCACATGAAGTTGGAAGGGTAGTGGATAGGGGAAGGGCTGAAGGGGATGGAGGGGGTAGATTTGATCCAAACACATTATATCCATGAAGGAGAAATACAGGAAGGGATCTCAGACCTATTTCTTTCTTCCTTTTTGTCTGATATGGATTGGTTTAGTATTGTATTTTATTTGTTTTTTTTTTCAGTATTTGCCTTAGAGTTTACAATATAATGTTTGCTTAGAATATATTTTTATGGGGTTGGAGAGATGACTCAGTGGTAAAGAACACATGTACCTCTTGCAGAGGACCTAAATTCATTTCCCAGCATCCATATGGTGGTTCAAAATCATCTATAACTACAGTTCTAGGGAATCCAACGCCTTCTTACAGCTTCCATGGGTACTGCACACATGTGGTACACATATACCTGTGCAGATACATATATACATACTCATATTGATTGTCACTGGCAGTTAGTGGCCCTTTGTTTCTCTGTTGTAGTTTTTGAATGAATGTTGGGTGTGGTATGTAAGACAACAGAGCAGGGTTAGACAAGTTTTTCTATTGGGGTCACATAGTGAATATTTGAGCTTGAGGGTCATGTGTGGTCCCTGTTATGTTTTATTTTGTTTACTTCTTTAAAAATTTGAAGTCAAGGCTGAAGTAATGGTTCATGGTTAAGAGCATGTACTGCTCTTTGAGAGGACCCAAGTTCAGTTCCTGGCACCCATGTCAGGGAGCTCACAGACTCCTGTAACTCCAGCTTTAAGGGAATACCCTCTCCTAGTTTCCATGGGCACCTGTGCTCAAATGCACATACCCACATTCAGACATACACCCATACACATAATTAAAAAGAAGTCTTTAAGAATATTGAAACCATCATACTACACAGCAGGCTATGGAGTGACCTTGGCTTTGGAGCCTGGGTATTCCCTTTGAAGGAGTATGAGAGCAAGGTAGAGACCTAACATTTACACCTGGGGATGCCATGCCTTCTGTTCTGCTGTGGGGGGAATTGGGGGTGGGCCTTTGGATTTGTTGTCATGTTTGCTATGTATCTTGCTAGCTGGAGTCAGATTCTTCTTGTCCTTTCTTCAGCCTTGAGGGAGGTGTAGGCATATGTTTCTGTCCCACCAGCAACTCCCAATGCCCAGCAGCCGCTTCCCTGTTACCACACAGAGGCTTGTACTAATTATAAATGCTTGGCTAGTAGCTCAGGCTTATTACCACTAGCTCTTACACTTAAATTAACCCATAATTCTTATCTATGTTTAGCCACGTGGTTTGGTACCTTTTCTCAGTATTTCATTCTCATCTTGCTTCTTCTGCGTCTGACTGATGACTCTTGACTCTGCCCTTCTTCTCCCTTTATCTCTGGCTTTCCTGCCCAGCCGTATTCTGCCTGGCTGTAGGCCTGATCAGCTTTATTATCAACCAATGAGAGCAGCACACACGCACAGCATACAGAAGAGTCCTCCCACAGCAGGGAGGGCTGAATTGCTAGTCTCCACCTTTAGCTGTTGACCCTCCCTGCCTTGAGGTCCTCATTCTGTCCTTGGCCTACTTGTAGTTACCAGGTATTTGTGCAGCTCTGGGGAAGCATGGTAGGGAGTTCTCCATTGTTTCAGTTTGCTACTGTCTACTGTGTGTGAGTGTGGGGCTTTCCCTATAATATTGACCTTTCCTTGGCAGCCGCCCTATCCTGTATCTTCACCTTTCCTCTAGAACAGGAAGATTCCAGTGGTCTGGGCTTAGGATGGCTCCCTGTTCCTCCCTCAATGAAGAACAGGTTTTATTTTATTCTTCCCCTAACTAGAGTTCCCCTTTTTGTTCTATAAGAGATGTCTCTGGTCCAGGCTGAGGGAGTAGTACTCAGTCCCACTGACTTCTTGAAAGGTCCTTTTGAGAACGTGTACTGATAAGAAAGAGGTGCTGGTTGTAAGCATGGCTCCTGATAAAGTCCTCGTCCCACAGGGTATCCATTAGGGAGAACTGGTCAGAGTTTATCCTGGTTAAAGCTTATAGCTTTGATTTAGGCTATTATTTTGGTCTTTTTCAGTGGTTGTTGTAACATAAGCAGGGCTCCCAGGTTCTGTAACTCCTGTGGGACATTCAGATAGAAGGTAATGGAATACATTGTGGATCTTATAGCCTGTGTATGGTGGTTTGAATGAGAATGGCCCCCACAAGCTCATACATTTGATTCCCAGATGGTGGGCTGGGAAGGATTAGGAGGTGTGACCTTGTTGGAGGAAGCCTCTTATTGGTGGTTTTTGAGGTTTCTAAAGCCCATGCCAGGCTCTGCCTCCATCTCGTGAATAAGATGTGAGCTCTCAGCTGTTGCCACAGCACTATGCCTGTCTGCCTGCCAGGCGTCCTGCCATGGTGATCCTGGAATAACCCTCTGAAACTGTAAGCAAGTCCCAATTAAATGCTTTCTTTTATAAACTGCCTTGGTCATGGTGTTTCTTCACAGCAATAGAATAGTAACAAAGACACTGTGATATTGTCCATGTCAAAGACCCTGAGTGAACTCTGTTGTTGCTGAGAGATTTGCCACAGTTGGAGAGAGCATGAGCTGTAGTACCTCCTAAAACAAGCACATGTCAGTCAGCTCTGCATGATGTGATTATTGTCTTAAAAGGAAGAAAGGTTTATTTGGGCTCCTGGTTTGAGATGCTTCAGTCTCTGGTCAGTTGGCCTTGTTGCTTTAGGCTGTGACAACAGGATATGTCTATTTACCACATAGCAGTTAAGAAGCAAAGAGACACAAAGGGACTAGGGTCCCAGTATCCTCCTCAAGAGGATGTCCCTGTGACCTAACTTCTTCCCATTAAGTGCTATTCCCTAAAGTTTTCACCACCTCCCAAGAGCACCCCAGGCTATAACAACCGTATCTTTCACATGAGAACCTTGGGGGATACATCAAACCCCTTAGAAGCTCTGAGATTTCTAGTTTAGTGGGTTTTAAGATTTATTTTATTTTATATGTACGAGTGTTTTGTCTGTATGTGCGTATGTGCCTGGTACCCGTGGAGGTCAGAGGAAGGTATTGGATCCCTTGGAACTGGAGTTATGGATAGTTGTGAACCACCATGTGGGTTCTGGGAATTGAACCGGGTCATCCGTAAAAAGCAAGTGCTCTTAACTGCTGAGCCATCTCTCTATGCTTTAGTTTAGTGTTTTAAATTATATAATCATGACATTTGAAGATGGCTGTTTATAAAAGGTGGTAATTGTGTTCAGTCATGAAAATAGCAAACTAGGCTTTCTGTTTCTGGACTAGCCACAGCTTTCTCAGCTGTCAGACCTGTCATTCAGAAAGACCCCTTCAGGGGTGGCTCTCTCAAGAGACTTTGGTTTTAACCAGGATCGTCTCCTCTCCCCAGATCCAGATGCAGAAGTATGCCTTCATGCCTTGCGACTCATCCAGTCTGTGGTTCTAGAACCAGAGGTCTTCTCCAAGGCATCCCTGGAGCTCCGGAGCTCCTTACCTCTGCAACGCATCCTGGCCATGTCCAAGAGCCGCAACTCCCACCTGCAGAATGCCGCCCAGGAACTCCTGGAAGACCTCCGTGCCCTGGACTGCAGTGTTTAGGTGTGCTTGACTGCCAGGGCTTGGTGAAAATGCCAGTGGCCCTTCCCCTTCCCAGGACCTTTACCTTTTGTGTTCACAACTAGATGTCACTGTATGTCATGTGTTAGAGATTGCAGGTCTTGGCTGACTAGAGATGGACATGATGGGTAAGCATCCTGCATTTCTGTCCTGGGAGGCCACGCTTGTTAGGTACTTGGTTATGGTTAATCTTGCCAGAGCAATGACCAAAAAAGGTTTCATTCTCCAGGACAGTCCCCTCTTAACACCTGGAAACTCTTCCAGAGTTTTCTCAGAGGAGCTTCTTGCTGCCCTAGAGGCTGCCCACACCAATAGGGCCACTCTAAAGATGGGAATTTAGATCACTATCTACCATGTGATCAGTATTTTCCAGAAGCATTTCTGTAATAGCCAACCTCTTTCTCTAGTAACTATAGCCCCCACTACACAGGCTTGCTTTTGTAACCTTTAGATGAACCTAGTATTTCACATGACGTTGGACATTTGATCTCTGTTTTGGTGCTTCTTTTATTTCTGAATAAAGTTGAGTCAATATTAACTATCACATTGTGAAATATAATCTTGGGAGCTTGGAAGTTGGTGTCCTTTGTACATTAACAATGTCATTTATGTAGCAAAACACACTTTCCTTACTTTGTTCTGGCCCTTTTTGAACTTAAAGCAAGTATGGGAAATGGCCTCAAGATAAGAAATACGAGAGTAAATTCCATGAAGCCACCCATCTGTCTCTGCACTCGTGTGTGTGTGTGTGTGTGTGTGTGTGTGTGTGTGTGTGTGTCTATACAGCCATCACTCTAGCTTATGTTCTGAGACACTGGCAGAGGACAAAAGAAAACATGCTACACCTGTTGCAGAGAGTGAAGTGTGTGAGAGAATCCCATTTAAGTCAGCACACGCTTCCTTCAAGGCAGGGCAAGTTACTGCAGGACATTGAGCTTGGTCTTCCTGTAAGGGAAGAAGTGAATCTTGGTGTCCCCGTGCAGTGGCAGCCTCAGCACACACGTTGAGCTGTTTCTCTGTGTGTGGTGTTGTAGAGTGACTTCATTGTCTTTTAAGAGGACATGTACTTTATGTTGAATGAAGAACTCAGAGAAAGGCATGGCTACTTGGATCTCACAAGGCAGCCTGTTGTGGAGCACTAACTCAGCAGAGCCAGGGAGGTGTAAAGCAGCTTAAGATTCATGGAGGCAGATGAGGGGCCATCTGTGCTTGGTGGCTCTGTAGGTCAGGTCCCTAGTAAGGATGAATGAGTACACAATTCAGAATGGCATTCCCTTCTTTCTGCTTGCTATCCTATCAGGGGGCGGAGCTGTTGTGATTGACATGTGCATCCTTCAGGATTGCTGAGATTTCTCTACTAAGAAAGGCCTAGCTGTATGTAGATAGAAGAAACTGCTAGCCTATGAATACCATGTGGTTTGGTGGTTATTAGATGGTCATGAGGGTAAGGATTTGATTATTCCTTCTGTTCTGAGCTACATTCTAGGCAAGTGTTTCCAGGCAGATTCTCCTAGAATTGCTATGCACAGGTATCCTTTGTAAGTACCACAGGGAGTACCAAAGGGCCCAAGCCAGTGTCCCTGCCCTTCACTCCAAGGCCAGCAGGAAAGCATGGCATCCTTAATTTTTTCTGTATCTGGTAACTTGAAGAAAACCTACTCAACTAAAAAAATATACATTGACGCATATGCCTTCCAGGGACTGAACCCTTGTGTGTTTAAAAATCAGAGATAAATCTGTAAAGTGATACATACATGTGCTTTTAATTTAACTGTTTTAAAGAAGCCTTCTTGTATTTGTAGAGTTGAGGAGCTCTTCTTTCTTGGCATCACCAACTTACAGGAGAAGGTAGGAAACCTGGCAGAATAAGAGCCAGGCGGTACCAGCTCCTCCCCACTGAGCCTCTCCGGCTCTGTTATTAGCACCAGCTTTGGAATCTGCTCTGTCAGGTCTGAAAGCAGATCTTGGGTAATGCACAAAGCCATGTGACGTCTCTGGGGCTTTGGAGACCTGTTTCTCCTCTTCATGTGATATGACTGAGATAGGCCTCGTATGCAAGAGTTCTAGTCACAGAGATGTGCAGCCCATGTACCAGAAGTTAGAGCATAGAATAACAAGTCTGTGGCCAGAAGAAAACCACATCAAGGCTGCAAGTCAGTTCGTGACCAAGAGCAATGTGAAAAAGGTTGTAGACTGCCTGCTGCACCTGTTCTTCAGACCCCCCGTTGTGTGCTGCTATGACATCACACTGAACGGAAAGGGCTGGCCAGTGTCTTTGAAGACTTCTGGTTTCCTAAGAAGTCATGACGCTGGCATTTGCTTTATATCTTCCCATAGCGTAGCTGCTTCAAGTGTCCCAGAAGGACTTATTTGACCCATGGATGATCCTGAGTAATGGTCCTAGGATAGCAAAGGATGTAGTGTCAGACTCAGGATCCTACCAGGACAGTGTGAGCTCTGAAGATGGTGGGGATCCACTGAAAGGTCCTTAGGTACTCTCCCAGGTCAAGCTGGGGTTGGGGATCAGGCAGGAAACAATTGGTATGGCCCCTCAAATGTTGCAGTTGCACCATGTTTGAGACTCAGCTATCTCTGCTCCAAACATGTTCACATTTAGATTTATGTAGAGATTTAAGATAAGAAATGAGAGTGTGCTATACAATAAAAACTCTTTGTGATTTTTAAAAATGTTTTTAAAGCTACAAAATAAATTTAACAAAATCTCACCATATTAAGTGTAGAATTCAGCACTATATCCATCACCACTCTCTACGAGTTTGTCCTCATCTCAGGTAGAAAAATCCTGTAAACAACTCCCCACTCCCCAAGCCTCTCTCTCCCAGTCCTTGGTATTCCTCTTCTGGTGTGACTGGATTTCACTGAGACATTTGTCCCACTTGGTCTGGCTATTTCCTCTGCATATTGTCAGGGTTCATGTGTGTTTAGTGTGTTAGAGCCTCATTGTTTTCATGGCTGGACAGCCATGTTTATATGACCACAGTTTTTCTCCATTTGTTGTTGAACACTTGGGATCATTCCACCTTTTAGCTACTAGTGAATAAATCTTCCAAGAACATGGGTACACAAAGGTCTGCTTGAGTCTCTGTTCTTGGTTCTTTGAGTTTATTAAATTGCTGGACTATGTGGTAACACTATGTTTAACTGTGTATGTGGTTGCACATGCCTGTGTATGTGTGTTCAGGTGCATGTGTGTATGTGTGAGTTTAGAGGCCTAAAGTTGATGTCAGATGTTCCCCCAGTCTCCACCACATATATTGAGGAGTTTGCGGATTCCAGCTAGTCTAGCTAGCCAACTTGCCCTAGGGATCCCCTGACTTTGTAATAAGAATTACAGGTAGCTGCCACACCCACCTGGCGTTTTAATGGGTTCTAAGGATCCGGGTTCTGGTCCTCACATTTTTATGGCAAATTTTTATCCACTGGGCCATCTTCCCAGTCCATGTTTAACTTTTTGATGATTGCCAAACTGTTGCCCACAGAGCAGCTGCACACAATCTCTTTTCTCGCCAGCAGCAAGGCAGGGAGTCCTCATCTACCCCCTCCTTGTCAACACTTTCCCTTTTCTGTCTTCCTGATAGACCATTGATGATAGTAGCTGTGAAGCGGGTCTCACTGTAACCACATTTGTTTTCATTCCTGATGAAACACTGGTGCTGCCTCTAGTGGCCGTTAGCATGGCTGCCGTGGAGAGGTCCGCTGAGGTCCTTGAGATGTGGCTTTTGTTTTTTGAGTTGGGCTGTTGCCTTTTGTTTCAGAACTGCGGAAGTTTTCACATGTTCAGGATCCTGCAGACTCAGGATTGCAAGTGCTTGTTTATTGTCACTCCACTGTTGATGGTGTCCGCTGACATAGAGGAGTTGTTGGTTTTGATCACATCCAACTTAACTTTATTTCCTTGTTTTACTTTGTCATAGCTAAGAAATCGCCAAGTCTGCACTCATGAAGGCAGCCAGCCTTCCTTTGTTTTCTTCTGATGTTACGCTTATCTCTCTTGCGTTAGAGCTTTCATCCACTTTGATTTTTTTTCTTTTTTTTTTTTTAGATGAGGGTCTCACTGTATGACCCAGTGTTGCTTGGAGCTCCTGGACTTAAGCAGTCCTTCTGCCCTAACCTCTTGAGTAGCCAAGGAACCTGTCACCACTTCGAGCTCAAGCATTTTACATAGAGTATAAGGCAATGGTCTGGATAGGTGGATATGCAGTTTTCCAAGTGCTATTTGTTCAACTTTCTAATTGTCATTTTAACATGTCATCACAAATGAGATTTTCAGAACTTAGACTGATGTATATTTTGCTTTCTGTTTTTTTAATTTGCCCTCATGAGTAGCCCTTGTTCTAAGGATTATGCCCAGAGGGGCTCCCTGACTTGCCTCTTGTTCTCCACAAAGGTGAGTCTAAAGTTCCTAGAACTGGCACAGTGACTGGCAGTTGGAAGAGTGACGCCCGCTCACATAGTCTAATGTGGTTTTTAATAGAAGGCATTTTTATAGCTCCATCTTATGCAGAATATTTCTGTGAGTGTCCATGAAGGACATTCCTGGCCACAGGAAGAGGCAGAAAGCCAGAACTCATCCAGGGCCCACAGTGGTAGGGTGAGCTTGAGTGCAGCTGTGGGAGGCTTTGTGATGCATGTTCTATGATAGATAGATGGGTGTGGGAAGGTAGGAGCAGGGACAACCTTGGATTTACATTTAAATATAAAAAGAGGATTATGTTGAGCGTCAGATGGGCACAGTATCTGTCTTTGATCATGCTGCCCTTTTCTACCCTTATGCATGATCAGAGACCATGATGTCAAGACCAGCAGTGAGCTGTGATGTCCACAAACACCTCCCCAGGATAAAGGTCTCTTCCTCCTTGGTTCCCAGAGAGCCAGGACCAAAAGGGTGCAGCAAGAGTGGGAAGGTTTGAGCCAGCCTGGGCATAGGTGGCTCTTCTTTCCGAGGTGAATCTCAGCCATATGACAGGTTCTCCAAGGAGCATGTGTCACAAGTAAAGGCCACATGCTCCTGAGCAGCCAAGTGTGTGGGCTCCTCTCATACAATGTATTATATCCTCACTGCTTTATGCACTGTGCTCAGGACATTTCCTCTTCCTGTCCTCCCTGCTGACTATACCCAAGGCCCACTCTGTGGGTTCCTATTGGGTACTGCCTTTGCCCAGCTACTTTGCATACACATGTACCTTATAGCATGGGCCAACTCAGAGGCAGTATGTTCCTGCCAGAGTGGGGACTGTTGCCCGTCTACCTGCTCACCCCTAAGGAAAACATCTCAGGCCTGTCCCTCTAGTCACACTAGCCACCCTATCTCCCTGGTGTGCCTCATGACCATCTGCTCTTTTTGTGTTATGAACTGTGTCCAGTTTCTGGGAGTCTGTAGGATCCGAAGAACTAGCCCTCTGGCAAAAGCCCTTTGCTCTGTACTTAAGAACCACATTGGTTGACTCTGGAGCACAGTGCAGTGTTAGGCACATCATGAGGCATATTCATGGTGTCACCAATGAAATTGAAGCTTTCCCTGCCATTGGTATCCCAGAA